ATCGCTATCTGGATTTCTTCTTCTAAGCTGTTCTTTTGATTAATCTGGGATCCTGAATAAATGAAGGATTGTACATTTTTAAATCTATACTGCTGTATTACTTTCATCATCTTCACTGGTAATTAGTTACGGACTCCTCCAATGCCTGAAAAGCTTCCCTCGCAGTGTTTAGGGTCCTTCCTGGAAGATTCAAATCTAAAATCTGGACTTTCCAGCTGAGAAATGTTCCTGTTTCTTAAATACATGCATTTATATTGGTTTACACTAAAATTAAACATTTATTTTTAAATAAAGTCAAGTATGGATTGCCAAGCTAACCTTTTTTTCTATATATCCTGTTTCTTTGTTTGTTGATCTAAATTCATTTGTCTTCTAACATTTTTCTATGTTCGGTGACATGAAGACCTTGGTGCATGATTGCATATTTTTTCATGTCTGGATATTTGCAGCTAGCATCTGAAATTTATAAATAAGTAAATAAAAATAAAATTAATCATTATAGCTCGTCCACAAGAATATTGAGGACCAAGAGAGAACTTACGTGACACTGAATTGAAACTAACATTCCTCTCCAAATACTCTTAAAGTTCAATTATAAAATTTATATTTAAGGTGAAACGAAAACAAGCATTTCAATTATAGTTCAATTAATTTCATCAAGTAAATTAATATGTGGAAAGGGAACATTTTTTCTGTTATATTCTTGTGAGAAAGCTATATTATCTCCATTTATTTATTTCACAATGTAATATGAAGGTGGTATAAATCAGCTAAATACCTAAAAAAAGTATATATGTATGAGTTATGATTTCATTATAATTAAATTGTTATATTAGATAAGTTTTTAAAAATTATAAATAAATACTTCTGAAAAATAAATACTTATTAATACTTTGCTATTTTATACAAAAGACTTTTTTTTAATGTATTGTTGTATGAAACAGCGTTGAGCCCAGTAAAAGTTCAGTCAGACTTATTTTAGATTAGGTTAAAAAAACCTTTTAATTTAAATATTATTTTGTAAATAATAAAAATAATTATAACTGAAGAATGTCAATTCATTTATTATTATTTATTTGAGAAGCAGTTGCAGGGGATGTGGTTGAATTAAATAATATATATTATAATAGTATTTTGCTGGATATGCCTATATAATATTATTTAATTTGACTGCAGCCTCCCCTCCTACCTTCCCCTGATCAACACTTTCCCAAATTATAATCACAGTCGACCATCTCCACATTATTATTATTATTAATGATTTATGGTAAACGTACCAGTTATAAACAATATTCAACTCATAAACCGATAATAAGCTTTATATACCAAAAAGAGAGTGTAAATATGGTTATATTTGGAACTAGAACAATTAGGAGGGTGATGCCTGAACCTCAAGTAATACCATGCCACAATTGTCGATTGGCAGTTGATTTCTTAGTAATGTAAGGCTGAGGTTTCTTTCATGGAGGATTCCTTATTACTATTCTTTAGGAGATAAGTTTGAAATTTGTATTCATTATTACGTGTTCTGATATTTCTTAGTTTTACTTTGTGAAGAATTTATTTTGGGTTTTATTAATTTTATAAATCCTATTTACCCCAAAACCTGAATGTCTATTACTAGTACAAACAACGTTGTCAGAATTCTTTAAGTTTTTCATGAATAATTAACTAATTGACTGTTCATAAAAAAATGTGTTAAACGACTAAATTTGCTGTCAATTGAACCCATTGCAAAGATCCACCTTCAGAACCAAAGCTGTGGTTCAAATTAATGTTGAAAAATTCTCTTAAAGTGTCTATTACGGGTGCAGTTACCTTAATTTTTATTAATCACATGAAATAAGCCTTATTATGTAACAGTGATACAATCCTAATCCAAAGTGTATTCCAAAAACAAATAGTAGATAAAAATCCTTTATATAAGCAAACTGAGAAGTAGCATGAGATATTTAACCAAGTTTATTCCTGTTTTTACATAATTTCTAATGCTTATTTGCATTAAGTTTACACTTCATATAATATTTATGGATTGGTAACAAACACATATAAAGTAATTATGAATAAATAGGATTTTTATTCAATAAATTGTTGTAAGTATGATTTTTGGCATTTTTATTTCAATTTTGCATTGTCCAGTTCCAATTACTACCAGAAAGTTAGTTATCCACAGTTTTCTTTATTTTTAAGAATTTTTTTCTAGTTATTAGAAATTTTTAAGTAGAATATTCAACATAGTTGGACAAATCAACTTTCTTAGTGTTCTAGATCTCTCAGATGGATTGCATATGTTGGATGATTAAGAAACATTTTATTATAAGCAGAAATATTGTAAATGACAAACAAATATTTTTTTTAAAGATCAATCAATGTATAATTAGTTGAATAAATATTTAAATTATGTATGGTAATTGTATTCTCTATGTAGTATATATATTATAAATGAGCATAATGTAAGTGGTTATTTTTATTTGTTTTAAGTGCTGTTTGTAATTTTGCAAAATACATATTAAATAAACTTGTGTAAAGTTTTATACATTACAATCCAAATATACATACGAAAAGCAATATAATAAAAATAAAATAAAGATAAATTAAGCAATTCATAAAATAAAAACCAATATGTATCTCTATTATTATTTATATTCTTGTCTCTTACTTTATATTAATCCTTGATTTATTAAGTTTTTCCTTTTGCTATTTACTTCTGTCTTTATACTATAAAGATATTTATATCTTTTGTATATCTGATTTAAATTCAGCATTGAAGAAGACTCAGAAGTTTGCATTGAACTTTTGTAATAAAATAATAATGATTGAATCCTCAATATTATATTTCATGATATACATCACAATCAATCAACTAAAATCAAAATATCCTATTACATTAACTTTGAGCAGTGGATAATTTTTAAATATTATTTTTAAAATGTTACGATTTCAACTATCAAAGATTTTAAATGGAAGCCAGCGTTAAACTCAAAAGGAATACTTTGAATGAGAAAACCAAGAATGAATTATTCCTTATGAATATGAATAGTTTAATAGATAAAAAATTAATTTTCTTGCAACCTTTGAAAAAATGTAAGCAAACTGTTATAATTTGAATCAGATATACATTCAAATAATATAAATCTGTAGTTAATAGTACATACAGCCATGAGCATCTAACTGTTTAATTACAAAGAAAGAATTGGGTAAACTAAAAAGAACCTGTCACAGAAACACTTCTATTTCTTTCCTTCTATTACTGTTTTCCATATATTTAAAAATACTTAACTATTATATATCCATAATATTTATAAACACAGTTCACTGTCGATACCTCTAGATGCCTTCAAAACTTCATTTCACTCACTATAAAAACTTTTGAGAAACTTGTGATAAATATTTAAACTAAATTATCTAATGAAAAACACATTACAAAATAATCTATTATTTGAAACATTACAGAACAGACACTAACTCAAAGCTATATAACTTCCAACTATATACTTCAAGAGGAAAACAAATAACAGGATTTATTACTGACACTTTAACTTATTAGCACATTATGGAAGACTATGTTGGCCTGTCACATTAAGAATTAAATAAATAAACATTTAAACAATACCACGGTGCAAAAATTGCAATTTCAGTAATTGTTTAGAAGTTAAAACAAAGTTGGAATAATAGTTTCTGTAACTGATTGAAGGTAGTTGCACTATCAAACAAAAATTTTGAATAATAGTATTAAAAACTAAAAAAAAAAGTGTAGCACCATCCAATAAATCAGCTAAAAGAGATCAGCATTATCCAAGGAACACAAGGAGCACAGAATTCGCACATAGTTCTTAAAGATGAAGAAAAGGGCCATCATTATCCAACAAACCAACGAAACTGTAGTTCTAGAATTAACTACTAGATATCAGCACTGCAAAAACTGCTTTTTAAAAAAAAATCATGAACAAGAAACAACTTGCCCAGTCAAATTAGCACAAAAAAGGGGTCTATCTTGCAACAGGTTGGGTGATTCAAATTTATTTTTTATATTATTAGGTATGCAGTGAATATAAAAAATCCAATTTTGCTCACTTGAAATCCTTGTGCTGCAGGCAGTGCTCCAAAAATCATTGAAATTTCGAACTTTATTTGGTTTACATAAACCCAATAGGAAGTAAACAATCGAGCTTTCAAAATGAGTAATGTTTTGGGAATTCACAAAAAACAAGCATAATTTTTTGTTTTTAATTAATTATCTGTTTTTACATAGAGCTAGGTGTCATAGTGTATAGGTGACATAGCTCGAATTTTTAAATTAAATATTAAAGCACACAAAATTTAATATTGATTTTATAGGGAACATATTTCTCTAAACTTAACAACTTTAAAAAAATGTAAACACCTCAGAGGGTTGTCAGGAATTGTTTTTGATGAAAGGTTATGAACTAGAGAATCGGAATGACCTAAGAGTTTGCAATTAAAAGAGTAATATCTAATCCGTGGCAATGCTTCAACAAGGGAGATGTTGAAGTCTTTGTAGATAATTTTATTTGTGACATAATAAAGAGCATTTAGGATCTTACAGAGGATTTTGGATTTTAACGATTGGACTTGTGAAGATGATTTTATGTAGGCCCCAGAACTCGAAATGAGCCTGATAATGCTAGTGTAATAAGTTCTTTTTAGGATATTGGAAGTTTAGAGCGTTTGTCAAGTAAGTATTGTAGTAGTCAGAATCTATTAGCAGTTTCTTGTCTTTTCAGTCTAGTATGAGGATACCAAAAAAGATGTTTGTCAAGAAGGAGCTCTAGGTAATTTAGACACCATTCATCAATGGCTAAACTGTGTGACTTCAGGGATTGAGATGCAACTATTGGTTCATTATTGACAGATAACATATATGTGTCATCAGCATTGGTAGTAAGGATGGTAGAAGAATGGATTTGGCTACCAGCTGTAAACCATATAAAGGATGGGACTTAAGATGTTCCCTTGAGGAATTCCAGTGGAAAGGGATAATTATAAATTTCTTAAAGACAAAAAAGAACTTTTATTTTGGATCTTGCGTTAATATTATTAGTTAGCTGTTGTAAAAAGTTATAATAAAATTATATTTACAGGAACACATTGTTTTAAATACACTTGTATATGTACAAATGCTGAAGCATAGACATGTAGATGCAACAGACATTTTCTTATGTTTGATTTTAAACACGGTAACAGAATCGTTTAGGTTGGCCATAGGGTGATCTCCAAGTATTGTCGGTTTAAAGGTCTTCAAGAGGGACTCCACATCGGACGTTGTAAAAGTTGTCGCAGACTTTGAACTGCGGGTGGAAGAGTGTCCCATTCGTGCAGATGTGACTGCTTACAAGGTGTCCTTGGCAGAGATGGAAGACCTGAAAATAATTCAAAATTTAAGATAAGCTTAGTTGAAATTCATTTATTAAAGTATCCATATCATGTATTTTTCATAACTTATTATATATATACTAAAATCTGTTATAGATAGTTATTCTTCTTTACTCCTAAGATGTGGGGTTGATGTTTGGATAAATAGATGGGATGGAATCTCTCGTGCTGTATGGATGGCATCCATCCTAGGGAAAGTATGATGAGTTAAAATTGATATTATGATTAGATGAATGATATTATTTTTTGGGCTCACTAGTTGTCTTGTTGAATGTTTCCAATTATAAAAAATAATTGGAATACAATAGGTACCGTTATAATAAAATGAGGCTTAGTTACAAAAATTATATGAATAAGTACATGAAATAAAAGATGTGATTAAAAGAATTAATAAAATAACAAATTGTATCTCAACAATTACCAATGGTTGCTTGCCAGGGTAACAACCAGAATTAAGAGTGTTATGATATGGATTTGGGTGAAAGGAGAGGAAGGGAAGGGTATTTAATATAGGGGGTGTAAACTTTAAAATAAAGTAATAAGTAACAACGATTTCTAACTTTTGAGATATATTTTTGGAGGAGGTCGGCTAGAGTCTCAAGGACGCAAAGAATCAGAAACAATACCACCAGAGAAAGAATGGAAGTTAAGAACAATATACTAGAAATAATGGAAGAAAGAAAATTAAAGTCATATGGACCACAGGCGGATCTACGAGGGAAGAGAGGGGGAGGAGGTTTTCGGGCTGAAGCCTCCTCTCCCCCTCCCCCCAAAAATGGTGAAATATTACCATGCCTTATTAAAAAAATATTTCTAAAAGTATTATTTTTCGTACTACATTTAATAGGACTTAAAAAATCACTTAAACACCATCTCGTATAGGTAGTTAGTTTCTTTCTTTTTCTTCGAAAATAATTATCGTTATAAATAAAAAAAAAAAAACTTTCGGGCTGAAGCCCTCCCCCCCCAAAATGAAATCCTAGATCCGCTAGTGGTATGAACAAATGAAAAGGATGAATAGCGAATGACTTACCAAAACGGCATTTGAGTGGGAGGCCGAGGGTAGGAGAAGGAGAGGACGACTTAATGTCAGTTGGAGAGATGCTGTGGTTGAGAGTATAGTGGGAAGGAAGAAGCGATGGACATCGAGAAGTGGAGGAACCGGCTGAGGGAGGAGTTTGGTTGTGAGAAACTCCAATTTATGAAGGATAACCCCTTAAATAAAATTTAAAAAAAGTAGCATAACAAGGAGGTATGTAAAGACAAATTCAAAAAAGTAAATACAAAAAAAATAGAATACAACAAATACATCTCATTTCTGTGTTCAACTCATAACCACCCCAATCCACTAGTTCAGTTATTTTACATTTTCCTTTTACTCGTTTGATGAAGGTTAAAAAGAAATTAGCTAAGGGAGACCTGCTTAACCATTAATCTTATTTCTTTACCCTTCTTAGCGATCTCCCCTTCCTTGCCTTTTAGGTTACACGGGCAGAAGCAGACGGCGAGGAAATTATACTGATTTAAAAGTTCCACCGGGATTTTAACTCGCAATCATTTTTCTATTAGATTACTGGGCAACCCACAGTGCTATGCACATGAATTTTCTCGATAATTCATCAAAAACAGAAAGTACTTCAAGTAGAACAATACAGAATAGTTTCATCGAATCATTAGAGCCTTTTTTTGCGCTACAGTTTATGAAACAACATGTTATTTATTATCTTATTGCCCAGCCTCTATTATTAGTTCCACGGTCATCGGTATTCAAAACGATATAAAACAAATAAAGAAGCAACAAAATCGGTCTAATAGTTCCCGAGATAATCTTAACAGACAGACCAATTGGTCTGCCACTACTGGAAATATATTTTCGGATACAAGGAGCTCTGAAAAATAGAGCTTCAGATCGGAAATTTGATCCGATCTCAACATTTCCGCAACTAGTAGCGGCAGGAAAGTAAAAAGGTAGCCCCTCTCCCTCAAAATTGAATCCTTGTTTGATATACCCAATATTAGTGCAGTTCTTCCTTCGCAGCTTCCAGTGGCCGTTGATGGCCATGAATACCAATGAGGTGACAGAGAGGAGCACTGGGACCTCTTAAGGTTATGCTTTCCCTCCCTCCGCTCCTCCCAGAGGTATGGGAAAGAGGCTTGGCTCGAAGTACCAAATGAATAATTGTAAATGTTTTAAATAAGTATTTCTGTATGTATTCAATTTCTTGTTTTAATTATTTTAAGTTTCTTTTTTGTTTATATATATTTTTAATATTATTATTCCATTTAATTTATTTTTATCTATTGTTAATACAAAGTGAAATGAAAAAATAATTTTATTCTACAGTCCCCTAAGTATAATAACAGAGTTCCAAATTTATGGGTCTTAGTTTGGCTTAAAATAATACAAAATACAAAGTAATTAACTGCTGATTGTTATTGCAATTGTGCAGTAGATTGAAATTAAACAGTATACAGATGCAAGTAATTTTACATGTTAGCGGAAGTTTGAATGTGGAGTAGGTGGTGGAACAGGAGTTGTTTGAAGGAATTTGTGGACCAGGAGTTATGAAGATAGTTCCAAAAGGTGGAAGCACAAAAAAGCAGCAAATGATGATGAATTTGCTGAAGGAAGTAGTTTTATGGGAGGGGATACATAAATCTATAGGTTGAGACCTGGTATTAAGACAGTGAATAGAGGAACGTAGAGTAAGGAGTTCCAGGATTTAGGGAAGGTTTTCGGTTCTGAGGACTTGGAAAAGGAAAAAACTTAAGAGGAATTGTCGTCGGGATGGAGGATAGGGATAGGATGGAGGACCACTTCAACTCGGTGTACCAGAATGAAACATGTGAACGTCTGGGGATCCCGAAGATGTATCTTATGAAACAGTTCAAGAGCTTGTTCTAGCCTGGCAGATAGCCCTCCATACACCAAACAGCCCTAGTCGAAGTGGTGGAATATAAGGTAGGTTGCAAGGAGCTGTCTTGTTTTTAGAGGAATACGATCACGGAATCTTAGGAGTTGTTTAAGGACAGTTATGGATTTTCGGGTAATCTGGAAGATATGGTTCATAAGTTTTGGACTGTAAGGAAACAATGGATGGGACGGTTATTGAGGTAAAGTAGAGGAAAGTGAGGAAGGGAGCCAATGAGATGTCTGGACCCGATGAGAGTAGCCTTAGGTTTATCTGTATTCAGCTTTAATTGATTTATTTCTACCCATCTGTTGATGCAGTCGATTGGTGTAAATGATCTCTTTTATCATTAATCAATAAAGAAAAAAAATCTCGTCCCAAAAACGCGATCACACAAGTTTCAATGAAATCAGTTGGGTAACTATAGTAATTTGACGATTTATTACAGCACCTAGTAGATTTTTTTTTTTTTTTTTCGCAGCTACTATAAATAGTTAGTTAGGCCCAGCCCATCTAATATATAGGTATGTGTATAACCTTTAGCAGAGAAACGTGACTTGTTTCTGACCACTGAGCATTTTACCTGTTATCATAAATGCCATTTCGATTAAAAATATGACAAAAAAATATTGAATTACTCGCTCGTAAATTACAGTGCTCAAGCGCCTTGACCCAATTCACTCATTTTCAAGTCTCATTATAAAAAATACTAAGAAGGTTAATTACAGTAAAGATTTATGTTTAATTGGGGCGTTTTCAATCATGAGCCCGGCAAACTTTGTCTATATAATGAGTTACTTAAAACTCGTAAATACCCATATACTTTTCACTTGGATCGTTAAGATAATTTTATAACAAAATCGAAGAAAAAGGTGGCATACAATAATATACGGCCATTTGTCCTTTATAACCTCGTTATTATGACATTTTGGAAGTGTAGATCACGCCAAACAGCTCTATATTTTTCAATGCCCTCTTTATGTCTCGATTTTGTGCTCAAATTATCTTACGATTGAAGTTGAAAACAAATAGGTATTTACTAGTTTTTAGTAGCTAATTAAACAGACAAAGTTTGCCGACCTTCAGATTAAAAACGCCCCAATTCTGAGAATTTTCGTAAATTAAATAGTATTATCCTAGGTCCTATCCTTTACACAGTTTATACAGCTGACATCCCAACACTGTCATCACCACGTATGCTGATGACACACGTATCCTATCAGTTAATAACGAACCATCAATTGCATCCCAAACCCTTCAATCCCACATCATAAACCTTGAAGAATGGTGTCAGAACTGGAGAATTAAAATAAATTCCAATAAACCCCATCAAATTACCTTCACCCTTCGTAGTAAATCAATGACTTCCTGTCCTTCAGTATCCTTTAACAACACCTCACTTATTCCTGTTGAACAAATCTGATACCTAGGACTCCATCTGGACAAACGTCTAACTTGGAATCCTCATACCAGACTGAAACGACAAGAAACAGTTCGACGTTTCCGACTACTTCAACACTTACTAGACAAACGCTCTAATCTTCCAATTAATTACAAAAGACTCATTTACATGACTATAATAAGGCCTATTTGGACTTATGGAGTTGAGCTATGGGGCTCCACCAAACCTTCAAATTCCTCTCGTATCCAATCCTTATTAGGATTTTGGATTCAAAATCCTTCGTAAAATCCTCAATGCTCCTTACTTTGTTACAAATAAAATCATTCATAATGACCTTAATGTTCCTTATGTATCAGATTTGGCCCAATCCAGATAACTGTCCTTCCATAATAAACTTCATAACCATCCCAACCCTCTTGTTTCTAACCTTGCTTCCTATTCAATTCCTGATAACCCTCCGAGGCGTCTGAAAAGAAGATGGCCACGTGATCTCCTAATATAGACATATTATTAGAGTGCTACCAATGGGTAGTTCCTCAACATGTGTTTCATGTCATTGTATCCATGTGCGAATTTACTAGATGTATTTTTTGTATACAGTTGTAAATATCATATAAATAAAAAAATAAATAAAAAATAGTTGTAGGTTATGATGAGATAAAGCTATTTACGT